TGCTTCTGAACTTCCTATGCTATTCATAGCACAATTCCTTACAGATCGTTATTATGATAACAGATAGAGTAGGGAAAATTCTCTGAATATCCAGTATGCTGCTCTCCAAGGAGGGAAAATCGATGCCTTTTGTAAAGGAAGTACCTGTAATATATCTTGGGCGAGGGTGGGGGAGGAAGGGAGGCAATCAGTACAAAGCATTTGGCTGAATGTGCTAAAGAGCTTAAGAAGCTTTTATAAAGTTGTGATGTATTCATCCTGTGCGATGCTCAACTTTGGTGTCTTTCCTGTACAATACAATAAAAATGGTTTTGGCCTGTAATCCTTTGGTTTTAAATGATTAAAATGGATAATGCTCTGGGACACAACGCTGCAGGCAGACCCCTGCAGTGGGGAAGCCAGCAGATGCCATTTCCAAGCCCTTCGTTCCAGGACAGTTTGTATCTGTGACACTTGGCAGAGCAGGATTTCAGATCCTGCAGAGAAGGATCTCCAGGAGAAGCAATCAGAACCAAAACCGGAGGTGAAAGAGATGGGGCAATCTGAGTGGTGTAGCCCCAGGTACTTGCAGCAACCTATTTGGACCTCAGCAAATCACAAATCTCACAACCAGTTTATTTCTCCTCATTCTTCATTAATTTGCTCACCAATCTGTGCTCAGTTCCTTGCCTTCTGTCCAATTAAGAGGTAGTAACACACAAAACAATGGCTGAAAGGACAGATAATTCGATAGCAATCCAAGATTAAAACAGTATTTCTCCTCCTAAACCATTTCCCCATAGTCTTTACTTCTTTTCTTTCCCTGACACCTACCTAGGGGTCCAAAACACACCAGGAATGGGGTTTGTGTCTCAGGAGCTGAAAAACACCCACAGGCTTCAGAGTGCTCCCTACCCTCCTGCAGAAGAGATGCTTTCTCCACCGCCTCTCTTTCACATGGTCCTCCCTCGTTTTTCTCACCCCAGCTCAATTCAGCACACAAATCTGGCATATCCTCTTACAGGAGATTTACAAGAGGCTCCCTACACGCCTTGCACCAGCTGGGCGCCCCAAGCTAAGCAGGATTTGCAGAGGCACAGTGCCCACGTGCAGCCTGGGCAGGTCCATGGGCACAGAGCACATGGGTCAAACTCAGATCATCCAAGCTGATCAAATCAACTGTTTGCAAGCCCTGCTATCCGTACCTGGCCAGTACGTGACCTGCCATGGACCCCCTGCCACCTCACAACCTTTTGCTTTACCTCATTATGGCTGCATGGCCCCTTTGGCTTCTTACTTTACACAGAGCACACAAGCCAGGTGAGAGCTGTTCATCCACCTGCCAATGAAGTACAGGATGGGTTTCTGGGACCGTTCTGCAATTCACCGGTGCTGATGCCAGTGCTGAGACAGATCTGTTTTTCCTAACAAGATATGCAATAATTCAGAGGGGATATTCTTAGCTTTGCTGGTTGCTTAGTGATGGTGAAAAGTCACCACCTTGCTGCGCTCAACCTGCCTTTGTCAATTAGTACAAGCCTCTGCATCCCAACGAAACTCAAGCTGTTCATCCACGCCTGTGTATTTTTAAACCACACCCAATTAAGGCAGCAAGCAGCCCTGGGCTGGGGCAGCTCCGGCCCTCTGCCTGCAGGGAGCGCGAGGAAGGCGGCCCACGACTGCACGAGGCCCTTCTGCTCCTGGGCTGCCAGAGCCTGCGGGCTTCACCTCCCCAATTACTGGTGAGCAAAAAGCCAGACCTCCGGTTTCACCCTTCCCAGCGAAGCAAAGGTTATGTTTACAATTTATTAATTATTATCACTTATAATAATTGAATGTAAAGCTCCTCTGTCCCCTGGGGTTACGCTCCCCTGCCCCAACACATTCCCGCCCCTCGGGAAGACGTTGTTTATTATGCTGATCCCACAGCCCAGGAATACTCTCCTGACAAAGCCCCTATTAACCTCAGAGTGTGGGCCTGAGTTTCTCAGAGTTTCCCACACTTTCTTCCCCATTTATGACATTCAAAGGGACCACAAAGGAAGCGTGCCTCACAACAGCCCGCATTAGTGACGCTTTTTGGCTCTGCATTGTGGTGACCAGCAATTCCTGTCCCGATAGGCCATCTGGAGCGCTATTTTCCCAAGGAGCACATTGATCGATCAGCATTATGTGAGCCCTTTTAAAACTTGGGAACGTTATGCTCTTTGACACTAAATAGGTGTCTTGAGAGGGGTTGTCAGAAAGATTTTAAACCATTTATGGAAAGCATAGAAAAAAATATTGTAATTATTTCTTTAAAAACACCATCAAAAGCATTTCTGAGACAGGCTGACGTGGATATAGGAAATGGTCTAAAATAAAGATGCTCTGTGGAAAGGCAAGGTGTAAGCCACCAAGCCATGTGCACGAAGCATGGCCTAGGGCACACAGGAGCGTGAGGCTCCAGTCAGCCTGTGCTGACTGCCACCTCCCAGCAGAAGCTCCACGGCCCAGCAGTGCTCCAGCTGTTTGGATACGGATGATCTCATGGGTGGTTTTGCAACTCATGACCACAACGGGATTGACAGAGGAATCACTAAGAAAGTAAGCCCTTGTGTGCACAGCATGGCTGCTGCTTCCAACAGTAGGCCTACCCAGCACAACAGCCTCTGAGAAAAGGAGTGACTGTGCCACATTCTGCACATCTGGCAATATGGGGCCACGTTTCTGTGAACCCTGCTTCTGAGCCCCGCTGCCAGCCTTCCTCCTGGCTCCACACAACAGGGGCACAGATCCCTGGCAGAGAGGGGATGGGGCCTGGACCACCAACAGGTGTCAGTGGGACAGACCAGGAGCTGACAGCTGAATTTCAAGAGCCCCGGCTGAGAAAACTGCTTACAGAGGCTTTGGCACAGAGCAATCCTTCTGCCTCCAGCAATGGAGTTCTTCCCTTACTGAAGCATTTCCAGAGAGCACATCCCACACAGGATGCACAGTAGAGACACTCCAGGGAGTTCCTTAACCTGACGTTCATGTGGGGAAGTATCTTGTTGCCTGTAAGTCTCCAAGCTTCAATAATCAAAACAAACATAAGAGGGGGAAAAAAAAAAGAAAAAAAAAAAAGACTTGTTTCTTTTTTATTCCTCCCAAGCTACCAGGGTAGGTGAGGCAGATCTGCTGTCCTTTCAGGGGAGGGAAGCTGGGGCTCAAGGCGCAGGGCTGTTGTTTTGTGCACGCTGCAAGGCAGCTTGCCTGGTTCACCATTCACATCAGACGGTGTGAGCCCGCAATTCCAAGGGTTTCCCACATTGCCCCATTCACGGTGTTAAACTGCCAACAAAAGAAGTGTGCCTCGGTGGGTCCCGAGCAGAAAGCTAACGCCTGCTGCACCATCTGCCCGCGCCGAGGAACGGATAATGCTTTAATCAGCGCGAGCTGGTTTAGCCCTTGGGAGCCGTGGGACGTTGGTGATGGGATGGCATTATTTAAAACCACTCACTTCGTATCTCTGGAAATTGGGATGAACTGGAAATTGGGTCACAGCTTCCTTCCCACCTCGCTGAGCCCTTGGCCTTCCCACAGGCCACAGCCTTTCTGCGTGGGCCCAGAGCTGCACAGCACACCCAGAACGGACATAGAGCAGGGATTGCACCTAACAGTGCTGGCCACTGGCTGACAAAATAATGCTAGGAATTGATTTCCACCAGGACTCACGCTCTCTGCTCAGCAATAGGTTTTTGCCAACCATCAGCGATGACAACAGGTTGTGGCCTTGCTGACGGTGATGCTGAGTGCAGGGAAGCAGGCTGACCGCAGCTGGCACAGGAAATGAAAGGTTTCCTCATCAGTTTTGAAAGATTGGCAGAGGAAACAGACAGGGCTTCCACGAACTCTGCTGTAGTGAGAAATGGGTACTCAAGCGCTAACAGTGCCAGCCTCTGACCTTGCATTTGCAAGGGCACGACTGCTCTGCCAGCTCCATATTGGATGGAACTGGGGCAGAGGGCCCAGAACCTGCAGCTGCCTGGAAAACATCTCAGAAAGGCAGCTTTAGCCCCAGATCCTGACTGCTCCCTTCTGCTTCCCTACCTGCCCTGTAATGCACAAGGCAAGGTACTGAGAAAGCCCAAGGTGGCAGAGAGCTCCAGGGTATCCTAGCAGCTGTGCTTACATCCAGCAAATAGGGTAACGCACATAAATTGATAGCAAGAACTGACCTTCCTACACCTCAGCTATCTGTACAGGAAACTATATTTAGGGGTTTGCTTAGAGGCTCAGAACCGAGGGAACAGGGAGGCATTTGCAAACCACCGTGAAATCAAATAGGACACATTTGGGCAAGGCCTCATAATCATTACATGCCACGGGCTGCCATAGGAGAGCCCAGATTATCCAAACAAAGCAAGGAAGAGCTCTTAATATGCCTTACAGACGGACTTGACACATTTAAACAAGGGAAAGGAAAATATTGCGAGCTAACAGCTTAGAGCAAGTTGTTTCAAGGGTTCTTCCCTTGATTTCACTCTGTAGTTGTCTAAAAATTACCTGGTACTGTATTCATCTAAGCACGGTTTAATGTCAATGAGGGGGTTTACTCCCTCTAATTCTGCATCTTTTCCTTTTCAAGCTCTCTTTTGGTCATTTGGCATTATCTCTTCCTGGGATCAGTCTTCTGTGCTTAATTTCAGCACAGCCTGGGAAAAGGCAGCACATTGAGACGTCGCCGTTCCCAACATCAGGCAGAAGTTGGATTATAATGACGGCAAACGCTTTCCCACGTTCTTACCCCAGCGCCCTCATGCCAGGCCCTATTGTGTCACACGCTCCTCTGTCCACCTGCTCCTTTGGGAGCAGGGTATTATCCCCAGGCAATTCACAGTCAATTTACCATGCTGTAATAGATGCTGTCCCTATTGTCCCGGGGCACACATGGATTGGCTATCTCGACTGTGGGAAACTCAAAGTAGCTTTGGACCCATACATTTGTATGCAGCTCCTGCGTATAAATAGAGCAACTCTCCACTGCTTTCCCCACCGGCCAAGCAGCCAGCTTCGTGCTGACGGCAGCTCTCGGATAATGGCACCCAGCGCTCTCTCCCTGGAAATCCTGACACCCAAAGAGAAGAACAGAGTAAGTATCCGCTCTGACTGCAAGGGCACACGGCTGAGAAGGGCTGAGCCTCTTTAGCAGAGGATGACATAGAGATGGAAGGGGAAAATCACGTCACTAACTGCCCTCCTGCTTTGTGTTACAGCTCAGAAAACCCATTGTAGAGAAACTGCGTCGCGATAGGATTAACAGCAGTATTGAGCAGCTGAAGGTGCTGCTGGAGAAGGAGTTCCAGAGACACCAACCCAACTCCAAGCTGGAGAAAGCCGACATCCTGGAGATGACTGTCAGCTACCTGAAATACAGCCGAGGTGAGCGCACACCCTGATCCCCGACTCCTTGCTGCCCTTGCTTTCTGACACAACAGCCATCTGAGTCTGCCTGCCTAACGCTTCTTTCCTCATCTCCTCTTTCAGCTTTTGCAGCATCTGCCAAAAGCCTACAGCAGGATTACTGTGAAGGGTATGCCTGGTGCCTCAAAGAAGCTCTGCAATTCCTCTCTCTCCATTCAGCAAACACAGAAACCCAGATGAAGCTGATCTGCCATTTCCAGAGGTCACAAGCAATGCCCAAGGACTCTGGTTCTCCTTCTGCACCCACTTCCACTCACCACTCCTCTGCAAAACAAGCACCAGCAAAGCCCTCCTGCAACCTCTGGAGGCCTTGGTAGGCCAAGAGCACGTCCACCATCACCTGGACACTGATGCACATTCCAGAGGAGATCACGACTTGCTACAGAAGTCCCCCTACTCCTCTCACCAGTAGGAAAAAATGTTTTCCTTCTGCAGAGCATTACTGCACATGGATGCCTGCTTCCCTTCTTCCAGAAGGACTGAAATGTTCCCACCACGTGGAAAGAAAGTTATTCTGAAGGAATGCGGCATGTAACCCTCCTGCTAGGAGGACCGAGTTGTTCAGAGAGGAACGCTGACTGTACTTAACCTCAGTGAGGTTGCACGGGTACATCTGTTGAGAAAGCTGTAACTGCTGAGATGTTTGGGTCAGTGTTTTCAGGTGTCTGCTCAGCAGCAGCCCCCCCTGCATCCTGCCCCGCTCGGGACCCCCACACCACCTGCACCTGAGCTGCAGGCAGCAGCTGGGGCTGGGCTAAGCGCAGACATGTGAAAACCTGGCTGCCAGCAGGTTCTATGATATTTGTAGACTGTACTGAGCTCCGGAAATGGTTACACCATAACTCAAGCTGCGTAGAGGAAATTCCTCGGGATGTCTTGCTCGCAAAGTCAGAGTGCTGTGTTTGTGAGGTTCAGGATATGTATGCCTTTTATAAAGGCAACACCTCCTTCTAATATCCTTATAGGAATGAAAGTTACGGCCGCGTTGTCGATTTTACATGAAATATTTATCAGTCTTTTATGAAAGGCAGTTGTACAAATTATATTTACTGTTTGGTAGCCCCGCCGGGGAGAATGTAAAATCAGTGCTGTCCTTGGAGGACGTTATGATGTTATGTGCGAGCTGCACCACTGCATAACTCGTGTCAGAAACCATCCTGAATTCAGGGGTTGCACAAAATAAAAATTGAGTTAAGAAAGAACAACTTGTTGGGTTTATTGAATGATTTACACAGCTGATTTCCCTGCAGTTCCTGGCTCGCCCTCAGTTTGTGAGCTAAACAGGCAGATTTTGGTACAAAAGCACATGTTGCTGGGAGCAGCCGTCACTGCTCCACGTCCGCTCAAACCCCCAACGCTGCTTTCCAGGAATGAAAACAAAGCTCCACATTAACAAACGGGGCTCTCAATACGAGGCAAAACCAGAGGCCTCCCCACTCTGCGAGAGGCTTGGAAGCTTAGAGCCACATCTGTCAAAGGAGGTCAGAGCAAAAGCAAAGGGAGACTCACACCCCCCTCCCAGACACAACCCACGGGCCTCACAGTTTGCTGAGGCGCTCAGCGCCCTGTTCAGCATCCCGTGTGAGCCACCCAACGGGCACTGCACACACTGGGCAAAACCAGCAGGGCTGCCACACAGCTGAGGACCGTGAAGAGAGCGCAGACATCGGCTGCATGGATGCAACGCAGCTCAGGTGAGGAAAGGAGCTTCGCACAAACAGCTCTTACTACAGAAAACGGCAGCCAGCACAGCCCTGACAACACTCCTGCTGCCTGGGCTTACCTGCGGCCCACCAGAGACGAAGAAGGTCCACAGGGGCTGATGTAACAGCATCGACGCCCGCACGGCGGCTGTGGGGCCCCGCACAGCACCGCACAGCGCAGCACCGTGCCGACGCCGCCCCGCTCCCCTCAGCACTGAGGCGGGAAGAGGCGCGAGACCGACCGTTACTCCGCGCACGCGCCCAGCACCGCCGTTACCCGCCGCACGCGCTCAGCACGGCCGTTACGCCGCGCACGCGCTCAGAGCAGCGGTCGCTCCGCGCACGCGCACAGGGCAGCCGTTGCTCGGCGCACGCACGCCCCTCACCTCCTGCCTCAGCCACGCGCCCCGCCTCGTTAACATGCAAATCTATGCACATACGTTTGCATACCGATGAGGCCGGGCGAGGAGCGGGGCTAGCGTTCAAAATGGCGGAGCGGGGAGGCAGAGGGAGCGGCGGGCACGGCAGTTTGGATAAGAGCATCACCCTTCCGCCTGATGAAATCTTCCGCAACCTGGAGAACGCCAAGCGCTTCGCCATCGACATCGGTAACCGGGCGGGGACGGTGGCGCGGAGGAGGGGGGAAGGGCGACGGCTCTCTCCCCGCTGCGGGGACTCACCGGGGCCCGTTTCTTTCTGGCGCGCGGGGCACACTGGGACGTGCAGTCCCATGTAGTCCCCCAGGCTGCCCGCGCCGCCGCGGAGCCCCGGAGTTCGACTACAGCTCCCAGCACGCAACGCGCCGAGGGGGTGGCGCGGGGCACGACGGGATTGGAAGTCCCGTCCCCGGGCGGCGGCGCTGCTCGGGCGGAGAGCAGCACTACAGCTCCCGGCGTGCCCCGCGCGGCGGTAATGGGCAGCGGGGGAAGGGGGGGGAAGCCTAGCTGGGAACAGTGCGGGGCTGCCCTTGGCGGCGGAGAGGGGCGAGGAAAGGGAAGCCCGGCGGGTTGAGGGACGCGGGCTGCTCTTCCGCGGGGCTCGCGGGCTCGGCTGCTCCCCACGAGGCGGAGGGGCCGGGAGCTGCTCGGTGGCAGCAGGCCCGAACGGCCCCGGTTGCTGCACAGCTGAGCGGAGCCCTGGTGGGGGCCGCGCTGCGAGAGCTGTGAACCGCAGTGCCCCTTCACACGGCCCGCTGCTGTTGTACAGAATGCTGCGGTCAACACAAGCGGTTTCTCTTCCACAAGGTTTGCAGGAAAGCTTCTCCACGTAGCACATAAAATCACTGAGATTTTTTTGTTGTCCCTGTTTCGTTTTTTAAAGAAGAAAAACCTCACCTGTAGGCGATCAGCAGCTTCGGGTTTTGTGTACCAGGAACGTTACAGCATTGCCCGGTGCCCTGAAATAACATCTGGGGGCAGGAAAGCTTTATTGCTTTTGTTACTATAAGTGTCTGCCGGGGGTTGCTCTGCACTGACCTCGCTTGAGCACTGCTGGAGAATGCCTTCCGTTTTTCTCCTAGATTGCTGAAAAAATTCCATGTTGATTTCAGCACTATGGAAGAGACAAGCTACGTTTGTAGCACTGCTTCGTAGGCAAAGCAGGCACCAGCAGATTAGTTTTCAAGCTGCATTCCTTGATTACATTCATTTGTAAGGCAGCAGAGTTAGGACCACTGCACTTAGCAGTTATGTTATGAACTGACAGACTTCTTACTGGTAGGACTCAGGTTTTAACCAGAAGCTGGTTATAATTGTTTGCTTGGTCTTGCACACACGTACTGAGAAGGCAGTGTGCCAGATCTCTGGCCAGAGGCCAGCTATGCATACAGATTTAAACACAGCTATGGGATAGAACTGTAGCACTGAGAAGTACGGACCTTCTGAGTGCCTTGTAGTCACGTTTGAGACGTGAGTACAAAGTTAAAGCTGCCTTTCTATATGATAAGGGTGCTTGGTTTGCAGCCCATGCTACTTTTATCTGAGTTAAAATTGTTTTTCCTCCAACAACCACAGCAGCTGTTTTATGAAGCTTACTGATACTTTAATACATGAGAGGTTGAAGAGGATTCCCCTCATACCTCCCCTATTTCTGAGGAAAGAAAAAAGCACATGTTTTAACAAACATTTTGGCAGCTCTGTATGTTCAAGCTCAAACATCCACTTGTTTAAGACAGCAGGTATTGATTTGCCCAAAGAAAAATGAGTAAATCAAGTTATTCAGTCTGACTTCATGCATTGCTCAAATGTGGCAAGCTCACATATAAAATGTCCTTGTAAGCAGCAGATCTGGGCCTTGTAGAAAGTTTTCAACTACACGGAGTGTATGCTGTGCTGATACCTGCTTTGCCTTCGGTTATTTGCTCAGCTCAGATAGCTGAGTATTTCAACTGAGCTACCTGTAGAGCAGGCAAACATGGTGGTGTAGATGAGTAAGAACTTGTGGAGATGGCTGGAGATGAACAGAAACAAGATCCATCAGCTGCTGTATGTGGATTTCCTGGAGTTCTTCTCACATAGTCATTTGCCACTAACTATGCCAGGTTTTAAGACAAGGGTTCTTTGATTACTACATTATGCACTTAGCTTAATTGTATTTGGCTTTAGAAGAAGAGAACTCAGCTAAAAACTCTTAGGTAAAGCATACATAAACATAAGTTAGGTTGTTTGCTGTAAGGTGAAGCATTAATCATAAGTTGTCATCTCTTTTAACAGGTGGCTCATTAACCAAGTTGGCTTATTATTCAACTGTGCAGCACAAAGTGGCAAGAGTGAGATCCTTTGATCATTCTGGAAAGGTAAGGACTGCATCATTAATGAATTGCATGAGATTGACTCATAACAAAGGTAGAACTGGAAGTAAGGTACTGGGCTTTTCGTAGTACAACAGAAGTCTTCTTTGAAAGCTGTCTTGTGCTTCTTTCTATACAAAACATTATTTGCAGTTTACTCAGTTTGACTTTCTGTAATGCCTCTGTTCTGGGCAATCTCCATTGTGTTTCTAGCTTTCACCATGAGGGTGCTTAGATTGCCACAGTTACTGTCTGAAATAGTTATTTTCTAGACAGATCAGTATGGTACTTCTGAAAAACATGTAAACTGTTGTTTCATACGTGTTTTGATTTCATGCATGGAAGAAAATTTACCATATATTTTTAATTGTTTTCTTTTAAAGGACATAGAAAACGAACCTTTGTATGAAATATCAGTTCAGGAGGAGATAACAGCTCGCCTGCACTTCATCAAGTTTGAGAACAATTATATCGAAACTTGTCTAGATTTCATCAAAGACCATCTTGTCAATACAGAGACTCAAGTCATCAAAGCTACAGGTGGTGGTGCCTATAAATTTAAAGATCTTATTGAGAAGAAGTTGGGGTTGAAGTAAGTGAAACTGTTTAAAGTGAGTTCAGTATCGTTGAAGTGACACTTCGCTGCCTCATAGCGGGCAAACTGTCTACTTTGCCATTCTTCCCCTAAAAGCCATCTGCATAGAGAAGTGGAGGCTGGAGGACACGTGTGCATCTGGGCCAGGTTGGGCTGAACCCAGTAGTTAGTGAGCAGGAGTTGCAAAAGGATACTGCATCATTAACTGGCAGGGCAGAGGTCTGTAGGAAAGCCAGGGAGCTTCAGGAGAAAGGCAGTGAAGGAAGAAGTATGATGTTATCAAAGCTTTTCTTGAAAGGATTTGTTTGCAATAGCTTTTTTTTGTTGTTTTTTAATTAAATTACTCTATATTAAGATGATCTTTTTTTACTCTTCACCTCCCAGCTAGCAGCATTTCAGTGGTGCTGCCCTAGTTGTCAGTGCTGTTGAACTTTCAGTCATCATCCAACTGCACAAAACCTCCAGCTGTATATAAAGTACAGTATTTGAGCTGTAGCAAGCAGGAAATAAGTTTGTTACAAACAAGTTTAATTGGGAATCTTTGATCGGATACTGTGATGAGGTGTATTTATTTTAATTATGAGTCATTACTTAAAATCCAAAGATGCTATCTACAAGAAGGCTGTATTATTAAAAGCCAAGATATTGCTGGCAAGCTTTTTTTTATTCTGTATGTACCTAATACCTATAGCTACCTGGGTTCTGAAGTCACAGTTACAAAACCTTCTACTATTTTTGTGAGCATGCCCAGAAGGTAAATAATTGAAACAACACAGTAATTTATTGCATAGATCCTGCCTGTACTTCATGCAGAAGCAG